GTTTTAGTTCAAGAGAAAATTTATAAAAATTCATCAATTTATAAAATTATATGAAAAATATTTCAAATTCCAAAATCAGATTTTGGGGAATCAAACGACCATAATACAATCAAAATTCATCGATTTATAAAATTTTAGGAAAAATATTTTAAATTGTAAAATTAGATTCCGAGGAATCAAGTGACCCTAACACAGTCAAAATTCATCGATTTATAAAATTTTAGGAAAAATATTTCAAATTGCAAAATTAGATTCTAGGGAATCAAACGACTCTAACACAATCGTTCGAAACCTTCAATGGAAAGGTTTAACATGACATCAACAAATCAACAAGGATAATAATGTAATCAAGCCATATACAAGGTTATTATTTTCAACCATAAGGTATAGAGACCACAAGGAGATTTGTTCCAAATCTGCCACTAAAGGTCTATGAGCAACATCAACAACAATTTCATAGGATTCAATTACAAGTAAGAAAAAAAATCGTAGCTCATAATTTATGAAAAGGCAATTTAGAGAAAACCCATCAAAATTTCTAAGGACGATGGTAAGGGTAATAAGTGCTTTTGGGATAGAAATTAGGAAGATGTTGCGTCAAAATTCTGAGCAAAAGCTATTGCTTTTGGAGTGAGAGGTGTTGAGGTAAATGTAGACTTCATTGGGGCTATTCGAAAGATAGAGATTAGGGATGATAAAGCTAATGTTCATGAGGAGGTTCTCAATAAGGGTCTATTATGAAGGTGCTATCGTATACCATGAGAGGGTGCGACTGGTTAGCAAAGAGGAAGCGCTTGGGTCAGTTTGTTAGGAAGGAAAGGTTTGATGTTTGTCTGATTCAAGAAATAAAACTGCAGGATGTTTATGATAATTTGGTGAAGGAGATGTGGGGGGATTCAGAGGTGCAGTGGTCGTTTGAACTTCTTGTGGAAGGTCTTGTGGCTTGTTAATTATCTGGAGGAAAGGTTGTTGCGAGTTGATTTCAAGCTTATGTGGTGAAGGTTTCTTAGGGATCAATGTCATTTGGAGAGGTACCAATTTGTATATTGTTAATATTTATTCATCCTGTTTTATTCGCAAGAAGAGAATGTTGTGGGATGATCTTGTTAATTGCAAGTCGAGGTTTCCTAGGGGCGATTGATATGTTGGAAGGGACTTTAATGCTGTCAAGGTGGAGGGGGAGAGGAAATGTAGTGCAGCTTCAATAAAAAAGGCGAGATTGACGAATTTTTTGGTTTTATTGAGTGGTTGGAAGTAGTTGACCCCCCCTTTAGGTAGAAATTTCACCTGGTTTAGCTCGGACGAGAGATTGATGAGTCAGTTGGACAAATTTTTTTTCTTCTGACGGTTTATTGGAGAGGTGGAAGGTGTGCGTTAAGATTATTGGTAACAGAGACTCGTCTGACCACTGTCCGGTGTGGATCAAGGGGGAGGTACGAATTAGGATCCTAAGCCGTTCAAGTTCTTTAATGCATGGATCGATCACGAAGATTTTATGCCTTGTTTTGAGAAATCTTAGAATTTGGTAGAGGTTAAGGGCAAGGTTGCTTATGTGCTCAAGAAGAAGATGAAGTTGTTAAAATTTTCTTTTAGAAGGTGAGATAAAGAGGTTTTTAGTCACTTAGATTTGAGGTGGATGAGGCATGAATGCCTTAGATTTTCAAGCAGTTGGTGATGGATCAGTTGATTTATAGGGTTTGTCTTCGAAGAGAGTTCTGGCTTCAAAGAAGGTTTGGAATTCTATCTGTGAGAAAGAAAGCTTCCTTCGTCAAAAAGCTAGAGCAGTATAGCTGTCAAAAGGCGATTCTAATTCTAAACTCTTTCACAAGGTCATGAAACAACATTTTAGAAATAATGCTCTGATGGGTATTAATTCGACAGGAGGGCGGATTGATAAGGTGAAGTTGGTTAAAGAGGAGATCAAGAGTCATTTTCGTAACAGGTTTTATGAAACTTTTTCTATAAGACCTAATTTGAATGGTGTTTTATTTGAGCAGTTTTTGGTGGAGGACAGTTCTATGTTAGAGGAATCGTTTTTGGAGGAGGTTATGGATATGGTGTAGAATTGTGATGGTGATAAGAGTCCAGGACCAGACAGTTTTAATTATGGCTTTTTTAAAGCTTGTTGGTTAGAGGTGAAAAATGATGTATGTGGTTTCGTTAATGAACTACATTTGGTTGGTATTCTTCCTAAAGAGGTTATGACATCATTTTTGAATTTGATTCCTAAAGTCGGTAATCCGGGTTCATTGAATGATTATAGACCAGTTTGTCTTATTGGTAGCCTTTATAGAATCCTTTCTAAATTGCTCTCCAATCATTTGAGTTTGGTTGTTAGGAAGCTTATTTCATCAACTCAATCGACTTTCATTCCTAATAGAAATATGATGGATAGGGTTCTTGTTATCAATAAGATTATGGATTTCACAAAGAAGAATAATAGGTGTTGTATCATGGTGAAAGTTGATTTCGAGAAGGCGTACAATTACATTTCTTGGGTTTTTTTTAGATATATAATGGTGAGGATGGGGTTTGGGGTTTGATGGAGAGGTTGGATAGAAGCTCTTATTTTCAATAGTTTCGTGTCTATTTTAGTTAATGGAAGCCCAACCGATGACTTTTTGGTTTCTAAAGGCCTTCACTAAGAGGATCCTTTTTCCCTTTTTTTCTTTCTGATGGTGGCGAAGGGGTTATCGACTATAATGTGGAAGGCTTCTAATGCGGGTGAATTTGATGGTTTCCGGTTCAATAACAGTGTGCATTTTGAGATTTTTCAATTTGCGGATGATACCATGGTGATTAGCGATGGATCTTGGAGGAATCTTTTAAGCATTAAGGCGATTCTTAGAGGTTTTGAGTTGGTATCGGGGTTACGTATTAACTTGTGCAAAAGTAGGCTTATGGGTATTCATCTGGATCCGAATTTTGTGCAATCGACAACGATGTTTCTAAAGTTTGAAATTGGGTCTCCAACTTTCACTTTTCTCGGTATTTTCGTTGGAATCAATCTTAGAAGGAAGGAGGTATGGCACTCGATTTTATCAAAGATGAGGAGGAGAATTTCTACTTAGAACAATAAAAATATTTTAATTTGAGGTAGAGTTGTGCTTCTAAATGCCATTCTTTCAAACATTCTAATTTTTTCTTTTTCTTTTTACAAAGCTCCGAAGGAGATCACCAAATAGATTATCAAGATTCAAAGAGTTTTTTTTTGGGTAGAGGGGAGGAGAAGAAGAAAATTGATTGGGTTAGTTAGGATACGATTTGTTTGTCAAAGGAGGAAGTGGGCTTGACATTAAACATTGTAGAAACTTTAATCTCACTCTTTTATGCAAGTGGAAGTGGTGAATTTTGAACGATGTTAATGCTATTTGGTATAAGTTTATTTCTTGTAGGTACGATAATATAATAAGAATCATTCTTAGTGATCCTTGACCTCCGTCAGGTAATAAGACTCCAGTTTGGTGGAAAGATATTTGTGCGGTGGGAGCGACGACAGATCATGCTAATTGGTTTATTGATTCTATGGCTTGTAAACTTGAAAATCGTGAGTTTATTGATTTTTGGAAGGAAAAATGGTTGGGGGCTATTTCGTTGTGCATGTTGTTTGGATCTCTTTTTCAGGTTGCTGATCTGGACTATTCCCGTGCGGTGCAAAACAATTTTTGGGCGTTTGAGGATTAGAGCTGGACTGTGGCTTTGTAGGCCGGTCCACTTTAGTAGAGTGATACGCTGGTGGTGGCAGATTTGTTATCGCTGCTAGAGCCGGTGCAGGTGGATCAAGGGTTGCCCGATCAGTGCGCGTGGTGGAGATATCCTGCCATATTTTCGGACAAACACTGCTATGACAAAATTGCAGACGGACGTAAGAGTGATTCGACTTTTGATGAGTCTGTTTGTGGACGAAGGCTCCAAGCAAGATTTTGATTTTTGGTTGGAGGTTGGTTCTGAATCGTCTCCCAACTAGAATAAATTTAGAGAGACGAGGAGTTTTGTGTGGTCCTCTTAATTTGGTGTGTCTTTTATGTGGTGGGGAAAGTGAAGATTTAAATCGTCTTTTTGGAGGTTGTCTGGTTTCGAAGCTGTGTCACTACGACATCGGTTTTGGGCTAGTTTGCTTCGGACGTTCGTGTTTTTTTATATCATTATAGCAGTTGTTGTTGGGTTGTGCACCCCTTGTGCTATTTAATCTATTTGCTTATAAAAAAAATAGTAACCAATTAAATTAAATAAAAATCCAAGAAATAATAGTTTTTTTTTTATAAAGTATTACTGCATGTTCAATACTAGATTCAAACTCAAGATCTTTGGTTAAGCTGAAACTCAAGATCTTTGATTAAATTTGAAGAGACTCCACCATCTCATCCAAATACTATTAGATAAGACATAATAGATTTACATAATTCAACTTCCAACAAAAATTAAACATGCATGGCAATCTGATTATTATAGTTATTTGAAAGTGTAAAGTTTTAATATAATCTTATTTAATTCGACAATTATAATTATTTGATGATCCGGTGATTATTTAAGAGTCACTTTAAAAAAGTCTTTTAGTATAGTTATATTTTAAATTACTAAATACGTTTATTACTCATTATTATTATTTTAAATATATTTTTTAGTAAAACTATTGATTTGTGTTGAGAGATTAAAAATCATAATTAAACACATCTATTTAGGAAAATGAAATAGGAGCAATGGAGCATACAAAATACCTTGTCTACTTTTCTAGTATCTCTTAAAAATGACAAAAGAGACTTTTATGAAAAGAGACAAAATAGTAATTCTAATTCATTGAAAGATTGGAACTCCATTATTACATCATCTAACAGCAGAGTAGAATTGTCAAGTTTCATAGGCAGAAGTTACATTACATGAAATGTTATATCTTCTGCCTAATTACTTTATCTAGATGTAGTACTATAATTTACGTTGAATTAAATGACTGAATATACATAAATTCCAAAATAAACATGTTTTGTTGATTAATAATGTAACTAGAAATTGAGGATGTTGGAGTAAGCAGTCCAGTTTTGTAGCCAAGGACTGTTAAGCTGAGTCCAAAAGGTATCTTGAGTCCAATCCGTTACAATCGGTAACTGTAACTCAGGAACATTGTCTTTCCCTTGCAAGGATGTTCCGCAAGCCTTTTTGCTATTATCTTTTATCTGAGTCATTGTTTTTTCATGACATGGTTTCTCTGTTATGATCGCCTGAGAAACCATGTCATGAGTTTTTGTTTGAGATTCTGTTTCATGTTGAGATTCTTTCTTAGGAATAACTTGTTGGAACATCATCGGTAGAGACACGTGTTGGTCTTGTGTGTAGTTAAAGGAGATCGTGTCCGTAGAAGAAGGTGGGGATGTAGGAGAACCAACCACCATTTGTTTCATCTCTTCTTCTTCTGCTGCTCTTTGTTCAAGCACTTTCAACGAAGTTGCCTTTCTATATATCTTGCACAACACTATGTCCTGTCATATAAATACCATAACATATTTTTAGTATTTATGTTTCATTATTTGTTGCATATCTTATTTGGAATTTCCTCATGAATGAAACAAGAGGTTCATATAGGGACCACAAGAGATGTACAAAACGAAAAGTGTCACTACCTACCTATTTTCATGGAAACTTCCTTTCATGTCAATCTAAGATATGCATGTTAATTAGTTATTTACCATTAACAAAGAAAATTAACTCATTAATTATGATACTAAAACACTACTATAACAACGAAAAGTTTAAAAAAAATTACTAACACTCACTCATAGTTAACTAAATGAATAAGCAACAATGTTCAAAATTTGTGCTCTAAATAAATAGGTAACAACTGAATATTTCCCGTTTGAGAAATTATTGTCTAAAAGTTTAGGCTACGGTTTTAGTGGTTTTAGTTGCTATATTCTATTTTTGTCTAAAAACAAAAATATTGTATAGGTTGAAATTTCTATGGTTATGACCTATGGTCAACTAATTAGTCTTATGATAGGAACCAAAAATATAACACAGAATGGGTCTAACTTAGACTATATAGTTAAAATTCAAATTCAAATTATATAATATAGTACCTTAGGCAAGGGGCTATTGTCAGGTAAACGATACTCATTCATGACCCAATCAGTCTTGGTTCCTCGTGGAGCTCTTCCCTTGTAGAAAACCAAAGTCTTCCTCAACCCGATGATCCGCTTCGGGTCCGATAACGTCACGATTTTCCGGTCCGAACCAGTTGCTTTCCAGAACCCTTTTTCAGTTGTGCGGTTAGGCCTTCCTCCACTGCCATGTTTTTTGTCCCTTGGCACAAAGAAATACCATTCCCTTTCCCCAACCTTTGACAAACCTATATATAATTCAAAACACATAAAAATTTTAAATTATATAAAATATTACTGTCACTTCTCATTTCGAGGAATTAGTCTCTGTAATTGTATCTGACCGTCTAAAATTTCAAAAATATGTGACACAAAATAATATAATATTCACTTTACCTGGCAAGTCGCAAGGATCATGGTGATAGATGTTGAGAAAACCAATGACATCGTACCGAAGTTTCTTGCCAACAACCATATTCTTAAGATAGAAATCAAGAAGTTCTTCTTCTGTAGGATGAAATCGGAATCCAGGAAGTGTAATTTCTTCAGAACTCATGTTCATGTCTTCCATTGATGCCATGTATATATGCTATATCTCTAATTATTTTTGTTGTGTTTTAGAAGAGAAACACAAAAGTTAGTGTTGGTGCTATTGCAAACACATTTGTTGAGTGAACATGGAATATAAGAGTGTATTTATAAGGATGGTTTTTGTTTGGTGATTGATAGTGCTTGTGTGAAATAATAGGTTATTTTCATGCTTTAATTATTAATTAATAACTGAGATTACGCTGACTTGGTCATATAAGCTGATTGTCTGCTGTTGGCACTACTGTAAGTCTATAGGTGAAGTATGAATCTAACGGTTGAGATTGTTTGGATGGCGACGGAGATTGATAGGGGTTAAAAGGTCTTTTTGAAAATATATTGATATAATTAGAAAATGGAGTGGTAATTGAATTTGAGGATGAAAACATTATGAGATTTGTGTGGCAGGTGGGACCCACGCGTCTTGACTAGAGACTAATTGTTGTGTGGGGTCAGTAGACGACTCAAGTACATGTTATGTAATGTTGATGTCTCTCCATATATTATTTTTCTTCTTATTTTGAACTTTTATCCGGTGATTCCTCTCATGGAAATTCTTGTTGATTAAGAAATTCTAGGAGGATTAGCATGTTAATTTGTATAGTGTGATTGTAACAATGAGAATATGCAGATAAAATATGTCATAGCCACCAGACAATTATAGTTTAACGATAGAGTAAAAATTCAGTTCTTTAATTGTTGCTTGGGGACTAAGAAAAAGAATATATATATATATATATATATATATATATATATATATATATATATATATATATATATATATATATATATATATATATATATATATATATATGATGTCATTAACATAGACATTTTGGATATAGCATGTAACTAATAGTTATTTGAGGAGGGTAGTTGTCTTATAAGTGATATTTCATCCTTGTTTTAAAATACTATTTTAAAACGATTTGCTTAGAATTAAAGATGGGCCCATCAGGATTTGACATTAAGGGTTTGAAATATAATTTTATTTTAATAAGATTGCTGATTGATGAGGGAGTTTTAGAAGTGTATCACGTTTGTTTTTGGAAATAGTATTTTTTTTAGGTTGTTAGAGTATGCTTGTTTTTTTTTTTTTGGCTAGTGAATCTTAATCTATATCTATGCTAATAACAACACAAATGTCATATGATTTTTTGTGTTTGTATTTTTCTCTCGTTTTTTTGTTAATTAACGAAATTTTAGTGTATTTCTTGTTCAAGTTATTTGCTCTTTTTATATTTGTACTTTTTTCCTAAATATTTTCCCTTTAAAAAAACTAATAAAAAATGTAGGATAAATTTAGCAACAATCATATAAGATATAATAAATTAATCTTATAAACAAACTTTATTAACAACACTCATGAACGACAAACCTTAAAAAACATATAAGATACATCAAATAATTTTTATTAGCAAATAAAAAACGAAAATGAGTCCAAAAATGAGTTATTACTAAAATTTACAGAAGGACCATAGTAATATGGTGGTACGAAAGACATATTTTGTAATAATGTTCTAAGCACAACTTCGACCTTAGCACAAATGGTGGTCGAAAACACAATTCAACTACTAGTCGAAAACACAATTCGACTGCTAGTCGAAAACTCAACTTAAATAGAAAGCTATGAAATAATAATAACACCCCCCTAATTCATAATTTCTAAACTCCTCCTTCCAATGAGCTTCTTTAACTCATCGAACCTTGTCTTCTTCAAGGGATTTGTAAGCAAGTCTGGTATTTGCACTTTTGACTTGCAATCTTGAGCTCAATATTTTCTTTGTTTACTTGATCTCTTAGAAAGTGATACATCCTTTCGATGTGCTTGCCCCTTCCGTTGCACATATGATGGTTGGATAAGTTGACAGTCGACTTGTTATCTACAAACAACTTCATCTTCTATAATTGAATCACTTTTAGTTCTTTCAGCAACATTTTGATCCATAAGGCTTGACAAGCTGCATAGGATGCTACCACATAATCCGCTTCACACGATGATAATGTCACAATCCCTTGCTCTCTTGAGCTCTAAGAGATTAGTGTTCCACCAATCATAAATATGTAGCCTGTAATACTCTTCCTTTTGTCTTCATCTCCACTGAAATTAGAATTTGCATAGCAATGCACTCCAGCTCCGTCGAAGTTGATATTCTACCTTGGCATCAACACACCATGATCAATTGTTCCCTTAATGTATCGTAGCGCCCTTTTTACTACTTTGAGATGAAATTCCAGTGGTCTCTCCATAAACCTTCTCAATAACCCAACACTTTGACAAATATCAAATATGGTATTGCACAAATATTTTAGAGATCCAATAATGTTCTTCTACAATGTTGCATTTACAAGTTCATCATTTGTATCCTTCATCAGCTTTGCTCATGTCTCTAAAAGAGTGATTGCTTATTTGAAGTTACTCATCTTGAATCTTTTCAAGATAGCTTGAGCATACTTATGTTGGTACATGAACACTTATCGACTTGTGATTTTAAACTCCATTCCTAGAAAGTATGACAAGTTTCCTAGGCCAGACATTTCAAACTCATGCATCAACTCAACTTTGCACCCACTGATCCTCTCTTCATATATTACTGTGATTAGTAAATCATCTACATATAGACAGAATGATTCGAATGCTCCTTCCATCATGATGGACATAAACTCCATGTTCTGAAACACATTTCACGAACCCTGCTTCGATCAGGAAGTTATCTATTCTCTTATTCCAAGCTCTTGGGGCTTACTTCAAGCCATATAGAGCCTTTCTTAGTTTGTACACACTCGAATCATGCCCTTTGATTTCAAATCCTGGTGGCTAAGTGATATAACCTCTTCTTCTAATGGTCTATTCAAGAATGCTGACTAAAAATCCAGCTAGTGTATCTTCCGTCCATGATACGCTGCAGTTAACACAATAACCTTGATTGTTTTCATCCTTGCTACACGTGCATAGACTTCATTGATGTCGATACCATGTTTTTGTTGAAAACCTTTTGCCCCTAACCTTGCCTTATACTTGGCAATCTCACTATTTGGCCTCAATTTTAGCTTGTAAACCAACTCTATATCAATTGGCTTCTTACTCGACCTGTCCATGAGCTCCCAAGTCTTTTTCTTCTCAATTAATCTAATCTCTTATTGTATAAACTCTAAACATTTTGAGTCCCACATTGCATGTTTGAAGTCAATTAGTTCTAACTCGACCATCATTGCTTCTTCTATGACATCACCTTTTGCATTAGTTGCTTGATATGGAAATTATTCATAATCAGTGAGCCTCATTGATTCAGTTCTTGCTTTGGTGGATCTTCTGACATGTTACTCAAGCTCCCTTCTTTCTTGAGTTGGTACCTCTGTATTTGGTTTTTCTTATTCTTCTTTGAGCACAACTTTGATTGCATCTTGTTCAGCTTATGATAACTGCTTAGTCCAATCTCTACTTTTGCCTTAATCTACTTGAACATCTCGACCGATCACTAGCTTACCATCCTTTGGTGAATACACTTTGTAAGTACCAGTCAAATGATAGCCTATAAGAACCATTACTTGACTTCTATCATCAAGTTTTCTTCTCAACTATTCAAGTAAATGTCTGAAGCACATTGATCCAAAGACCTTTAAGTGACCAACACTTGGCTTTGATCCTGTCCAAGCCTCATAAGATGTCTTATCGACTCTCTTCTTGGTTGGGCATCTATTTAAAATGTATACTGTTGTCAAAGCTGTTTCACCCCAAAATTTCTTTGGCACTTCTTTAGCTTTCAACATGCTCCTGGTCTTATTTAGTATACTTATGTTTCTTCTCTCAGCTATACCATTATGCTGAGGTGTATAGGCCGTAATGACCTCATGCTCTATACCTTCACCATTGTATTATTTTGCAAATTTTCCATAAGTGTATTCACTGCCACCATCAGTTCTCAATCTCTTTAACTTGCATCCACCTTGTTTATTAGCATGCAATTTAAATTTCTTGAATTGTATGAATACTTCACTTTTATTTTCAATGAGATAAATCCACATATATCTGGTGAATTCACCTTTGAAATTCAGGAAACAGTAGTTACCTCCATTCGAACTTACCTCAAAAGGTCTTCATAGGAAATTCATGCTTGAATGACTTCCTTGCTTTCCTGAATCTGCAACACTCTTCACTATTTGACTTAGCTCCTTTATCCGGTGTAGACCATACATCATCTTATTTTGATTGAGTATACTTAAACCTCTATAGTTTAAGTGTCCATACCTTTGATGCCACAACCAGTTCATGTCTTCTACTGCAGTCAAAGTGAGACTTTTATGATCAACTTCATTGATCTCAACCTTGAAGGTTTTGTTATCTACTACTGGTTCCTTCAGGATCAACTTTCCTTCACCATTATACACCTTCATTAGATCTTCTTCCACCTTCATGCTATACCGTTTGGCAAGTAATTGGCCTATGCTTATGAAATTACTTGCCATGGAAGGTGCATAGTAAACATCAGTGATGGTAGTCTTCTAACCATCATTCTTCAATACATCTATGTTACATCTCCCTTATGATGTAACATATCTTCCATCTGCAAATCTAATCACTGGATGAACCAAATTTTATTTCTAGTCATGTGTGCTGAACCCTCAATCCAGGTACTACATATTGTTTGTTCACCATTTGAATGAGTATTGGACATGAGTAGCATATCATCTGAACCACTACCTCTGGCATGTGTACATTGCACTTCTTCATTGTCTATTGCTCTTGATTCCTTCTTCTTTTGACAACCTCGAGCATAATGACCAAATCATTTATAGTTGTAACATTATACATCCTTCGTGTTAACTTTTTTTCCTAAATACTTGTTACCCATTACTTTCTTGGTTGAATCAGAGTGATTCTTTGAATTCTTGCTTGACCTTTCATCATTAACAAGATTCTTCATTTGTTTTGCCTTTTTCTTTCCCAGTCTTGATGAATCTTGCCTGCAGTGCCTGTTCCGCCACCTTCTC